ATAAGACTGCATATGGATGTATTTATAGGCAGGGCATATGCAATTTAATCACGTATAGTTTTATTATTTTTGTGAATGGTCAGTTTGTGTAGTCAAATCTTAGTGTACCATCTAGGTTTTGTACCATTCAGCTCCATTATGTATACCTTCTTGGATGTGCATTATTCATTACATTTGCTATTATGAATTTCCTCACCATCACATGTCTTAAGCATATAATCTTAAAGACAACGTAGATAAAAAATATATTTTATCTCATATAATTAATATGGATTCATAATATGAAAACTATTTTGGCGAAGAAAATGAGATGTTGTTGGTTTATAAAATAAGAGTGCATATAGGTGTATTTATAGGCAAGGCATATGAAATTTAATCACATATAATTATATTATTCTTGTGTATAGTGAGTTTTGAGTAGTCAAGTCTCACTGTACCATCTAGACTTTGTACCATTCAGCTATATTATATGTACCTTCTTAGACGTGCATCGTTCTTTACATTTGCTTTTATGAATTCCCTCACCATCACATGTCTCAAGCATATAATCTTAAAGACAACGTATATAACACAAATATTTTGTCTCATACAATTAATATGGATTCATAATATGAAAAACAATGTTGAGAAGATAATGAGATGTTGTTGGTTTATAAAATAAGAGTGCATATGGGTGTATTTATAAGCAGGGCATATGCAATTTAATCACGTATAATTCTATTGTTCTTGTGTGTGGTGAGTTTTGAGTAGTCAAGTCTTAGTGTACCATCTAGGTTGTGTAACATTCATATCCATTATGTGTACCTTATAGAATGTGCATTATTCTGTAAATTTTCTTTTAGGAATTTCATCACCTTCACATGTCTCAAGCATATAATCTTAAAGACATTGTAGATAACACAAATAATTTATTTCATACAGTGAATTTGGATTCATAATATAAACAATTTGGAGAAGATAATGAGACGTTGGTTTATAAAATAAGAGCACCTATGGGTGTATTTAAAGGCAGTCGTATACATTAAATTAATGCATATCAAGATAACAAGAACAAAATAGTGAGTTATGAGTATTCAAGTGTTAGTGTACCATCTAGGTTATGTACCATTCAGCTCCATTATGTGTTCCTTCTTAGATATGGACCATTCTTTACATTTGCTTTTATTAATTTCATCACCATCACATGTCTCAAGCATATAATCTTAAAGACAACGTAGATAACACAAATATTTTGTCTCATACACTTAATCTAGATTCATAATATGAAAAACAATGTGGAGAAGATAATGAGAAGTTGTTGGTTTATAAAATAGGAGTGTCTATTGGTGTATTTATAGGCAAGGCCTATGAAATTTAATCATGTATAGTTCTATTATTTCTTGTGTATGTTGAGTTTTGAGTAGTCAAGTCTCATTGTATATAGGTTGTGTACCATTCAGGTCCATTATGTGTACCTTCTTGGATGTGCACCCTTTTGTACATTTAGTTTTATGAATTTCCTCAACATCACATGTCTCAAGCATATAATCTTAAAGACAACGTAGATAACACTAATATTTTATCTCATACAATTAATCTGGATTCATAATATGAAAAATAATATGGAGAAAAAAATGAGATGTTGATGTTTTATAAAATAAGAGTACATATGGGTGTATTTATACGTAGAGCATATGAAATTTAATCATGTATATGTAACATCCCGAGTTGTGATATATTGAAAGGATTAAGAGGATTGATTTGACTACCTATGTCACCAAAGTGCACTTACCTTTTCGGGAGCACATCCAGAGAGAACTCCAGAGTTAAGCGTGCTTAAGCTCAGGGGTGGGCGTTCGGGTACCCATTCGGGTTCGGTTCGGATCTATTCGGGTTTCGGATTTTCGGGTTCACAAATTATAGCCCCATTCGGATATTTCTAAATTTCGGTTCGGGTTCGGTTCGGATCTTTGGGGGTTCGGTTCGGGTTCGGATAACCCATTTAAATTATTTTTAAAATTTTAAAATTGATTATATACTTTAGATTTCTAAAAATCTATAAAATAAAATAATATTTTACAAATAATTAAATAACATAAATCAAAATACCTAAAAGTAACATATAAATTAGTTTGATTTGAATATTTGGATTGTGAATCAATAATTTTTAAAAATATTTTTGATGTTTTGAGTGCACTTTAGCAATTTTAGACATGTATGTTTGACTATTTACATATATTTACAAGTATTTTGAACAATTTTAAAGTATTTTATATATAGTGAATGTTTTTTATATAGATTAAATCTAAAAATAATTAATATATATAGGTATATAAATCTCTTTCGGATATATTCGGGTACCCGAAATATTTCGGTTCGGGTCGGTTCGGTTTCGGTTCTTTAAATACCAAAATTTTAAACCCATTCGGATATTGAATCAATTTCGGTTTGGGTTCGATACTACTTTTTCGGATCGGATTCGGTTCAGTTCTTCGGATCCGGGTTTTTTGCCCAGCCCTACTGGAGTAGTCAAAGGAACGGTGACCTATCGGAAATGATTTGTGATACCGTGTAAGTGAGGCCAAAGCACGGGGAAAGGTTATATGGTGATTGCAGGGTCAGTAAACATGACTCTAGAGCCTTGGAAAATTAAAGGACCGGCTGTTGGAACGGGATGGGGCCCACGGGCCGAGAGAGCGGGTGTGGGTGGCCCATTAGCTGTGGGCGGTCGGGGCATTACAAGTGGTATCGGAGATGGTTAGCCATCTCAGTTCTGACCTGAGAGGCGTCTTGAGACCTGTCGTGGGGCGAAACGAGGACGTTGCGTTCTTTGAGAGGGGGTGAATTGTAACATCCCGAGTTGTGATATATTGAAAGGCTTAAGAGGATTGATATGACTAGCTATGTCACCAAAGTGCACTTACCTTTTCGGGAGCACATCCAGAGAGAACTCAAGAGTTTAGCGTGCTTGAGCTGGAGTAGTCAAAGGATGGGTGACCTATCGGGAAATGATTTGCGATACCGTATAAGAGAGGCCAAAGCACGGGGAAAGGTTATATGGTGATTGCAGGGTCAGTAAACATGACTCTAGAGCCTTGGAAAATTAATGGACCGGCCGTTGGAACAGGATGGGGCCCACGAGTTGAGAGAGCGGGCGTGGCTGGCCCATTAGCTGTGGGCGGTCGGGGCGTTACAGTATAACTCTCTTATTCTTGTGTATGGTGAGTTTTGAGTAGTAAAGTCTTAGTGTACCATCTAGGTTTTATACCATTTGGAGAAGATAATGAGATGTTGGTTTATAAAATAAGAGCACCTATGGGTTTATTTATAGGCAGAGTATATGCAATTTAATTACGTATAGTTCTATTATTCTTGTGTACAGTGAGTTTTGAGTTTCAAGTGTTAGTGTACCATCTAGGTTGTGTACCTTCAGCTCCATTATGTGTACCTTCTTAGATATGCACCATTCTTTACATTTTCTTTTATGAATTACATCACCATCACATGTCTCAAGCATATAACCTTAAAGACAACGTAGATAACATAAATATTTTTTCTCATACAAATAATATGAATTCCTAATATGAAAAACAATAAGGAGAAGATAATGAGATGTTGGCTTATAAAATAAGAGTGTATATGGGTGTATTTATAGGCAAGGCATATGCAATTTAATCATGTATACTTTTATTATTCTTGTGTATGGTGAGTTTTGAGTAGTCAAGTCCTAGTGTAGACATCTAGGTTGTGTACCATTCATCTTTATTATGTGTACCTTTTTGGATGTGCACAGTTCTTTACCTTTGCTTTTATGAATTTCCTAACCATCACATGTCTCAAACATATAATCTTAAAGACAACTTACATAACACAAATATTTTATCTCATATAATTAATATGGATTCATAATATGAAAAAACATTGTGGAGAAGATAATGAGATATTGTTAGTTTATAAAATAAGAGTGCATATAGGTGTATTTATAGGTAGGGCATATGCAATTTAATCACGTATGCTTCTATTAATCTTGTGTATGCCGAGTTTTGAGTAGTCAAGTATTAGTTTACCATCTAGGTTGTGTACTATTCAGCTCTATTATGTGTACTTTCTTGAATGTGCACGGTTCTTTACATTTACTTTTATGAATTTCCTCACCATCACATGTCTCAAGCATATAATCTTAAAGACAACGTAGATAACACAAATATTTTGGCTAATAGAATTAATCTGGATTCATAATATGAAAAACAGTGTGGAGAAGATAATGAGATGTTGTTGGGTTATAAAATAAGAGTGCATATGGGTGTATTTATAGGCAGAGCATATGTAATTTAATCACGTATAATTCTATTCTTCTTGTGTATGGTGAGTTTTGAGTAGTTAAGTCTTAGTGTACCATCTAGGTTGTGTACCATTCATATCCATTATGTGTATTTTCTTGGAAGTGCACTATTCTTTAAATTTTCTTTTAGAAATTTCATCACCATTACATATCTCATGCATATAATCTTAAAAACATCGTAGATAACACAAATAATTTATTTCATACAATTAATCTGGATTCATAATATGAAAACAATTTGGAGAAGATAATGAGATGTTTGTTTATAAAATAATAGTGCCTATGGGTGTATTTATATGCATGGCATATGAAATTTAACTACTTATAGTTCTATTATTCTTTTGTATTGTGAGTTTTGAGTAGTCAAGTCTCAGTGTACCACCTAGGTTGTGTACCATTCAGCTCCATTATGTGTACCTTCTTAGATGTGCACCATTTTTTACATTTGATTTTATGAATTTCCTCACCATCACATGTCGCAAGCATATAATCTTAAAGACAGCGTAGATAACATAAATATTTTATCTCATATAATTAATCTGGATTAATAATATGAAAAAACAAATTGTGGAGAAGATAATGATATGTTGTTGGTTTATAAAATAACACAAATATGAGCATCTGTTGGTAACAATCATTTAGTAGGAACACTTCAAAACAATATGGAGAAAATAATGAGATGTTGATGATGTAAAATAAACGTACCTGTCCAAATATCCAATACCTGCTGAACTAGGAACACTTCAAAACCTCTGAGACCTGTAAACACTCACTTCACATCTTCTACTTACACTTTTCCATTGAGTTTTACTGATATTCTTCTTCTCAGAGAAGTTGGTAACAATCATTTAGTGGGAACTATAAGGGAGCTCATTCGTTTTGATGTTAGCTTTCCATCTCTTCGCAACTTGTAAGGATTCTGCTCTTCACTTCTCTTTTTAAATTTGATAACACACTAAAAATCTATGATCCTTTAGGTACTTGAATAATAACTATTTGAGTGGAGACATCCCTGCTCAGCTATCTAACCTTACGAGCTTAGAGATTGTGTAAGCATTCTACACTGCACACATTCTGCACTAAACTGTTTAAGGATAACTCTAATCTATGTTTATTTGATTTTGTAGGTACCTATCTTACAATAAGCTAATCAGAAACATTCCTTTTGCCATTGCTCATACTCCTAAGTTGACATTCTTGTAAGTTTGTGTATGTTGATCTTTCAGATTTACTTACAATCAATACAAAACATGCATTCTTATGGGATCATTTTTAAAACTAGGTATCTTGATCACAACCAGTTTACTGGGAGAATCCCAGATGTATTCTACAAGCATCCTTTCCTCAAAGAAATGTGAGTTACATGTCTTCAAACTATAAAGCAAAGCTTATACTAAGTTAAAACAGTGAAACTTGAAGTATAACGAGACATGTTTCTATTTGTATCAGGTACATTGAAGGAAACATGTTTAAACAAGGTGCTAACCCAATTGGCACTCACATAGTTCTAAAAGTTTCTGATTCTGATTTTGTTGTGTGATGTGGTAAAATATACTAGGATGTTCTAAGAGAACAAAGTCTCAAAACTACCTAGAGATGGTTCCACTTTAGCGTGCTTCATTATAATTTTTTGTATGGTTTTGATCCTTTGCAAATGGAAGAACGCATAGACTACAAGTTTTCTTTAATATTGTATAGTTAGACACAATTCTACTAATATTTATTGAATTTGTCTTTTCTCTCTACAAGTCTTTTTCCATAACCAATTTGTTTTTTTTGTACAATTGCGATACTGAGAACTTACAAGATGTATATATAAATCAATAAGTACTCAGCTAGACTAATAACCTCTTTTCTCGTGGTTTAAAGAACTTGAAGTGGAGTCCCTGTATGTACCTTTTTAGTATGATCAGATTGTTGCTTGTATATAGCTGCAGCCATTTTGCTATAGAGGTCCATATTCATTGTCTGAAGAGCCGTAAACTTGAATATTATTATGATAGAATACAATCAAAGTGGTTTTTTACCTGTGCAAGAAAAACACAGTGTGAATCAGTTAAAGCGGCTGGGGAACCATTGGTGCAGGCGGAACTAATCCTTTCACATTTAAACCATTGTAGAAAGTAAAAATTGCAGAAAATAAACTGACAAATTAAGCTCTTCTTTTTGACCCTTCTTCTTTGTTATTAATCTCTTCACAATCATAGTAAAGTCTTTGATCACTATTGAATTTTATAAGAAAGTCTCTCTCACTCACTTCTACACAGTCGTCTCTGCAAAACGTCTAATGGTTTTTATGTGGAGAAGCACATGTCTGGCACATAATTTGTTGTGTTCTGCCCCTCAAGCTCAAGAATCCCAATAAGTAAGGGCACTTTCATCCTTGCATAAGAAATCTAAATCTATAGCATATAGATGGTATTCAAATGTCAAAATGATAGTGAGATTTAGGGGGAAAATAAAACGAACCGAATTTTTATTTTACGGTATTTCTGGCTATGGAGTTTATCCGCACATAACCCAGATTCAAATAGATATCCAAAAGAACTAGAAATTTCAAAATTCCAACATATGTGTACAATATCCAATTTTACTTTCTAATATGCTTCCAAAACATATTAAGATATTATTACATATTTATAATAATTAGTTATAACATGAATAATTTACTCAGATACTTAGTCTAACATATATTTTTATTTGGTTAATATTAATGTTTTTATGTTTGACATTGCATTTGAAGTTTGGTTACTAATAATTTGTTTTGAATTTTAAGCAATGTTAGTTTTTTCTTAAAATTTAAATAGTGTTTCTTACGTTTATAGAATTGTTAGTTGTTACCATTAGCTTTTTTATGTTTCATAATGTATGATTATCGTTCATATAAGGCTTTGATTTATCATAAATACTGATATGTTTAGCATTGTCATGAATAGTTCAGTGACAAATCTTGTATAATTGATAGACGAGTTTCAAAAAATTATTTTTTTGAAGGACAACAATATGGTTTGAAGAAACTAAATGCACAAATTTATTGAAACGATTGAAAATATATATTGAGTTTTATCAAGTATAAGTTAGTATTTTAGAACTGATAATCCGATTAGTATCCAAAACCGAAATTATTTTGTGTTCAACCGGATCTTGGACATGTAACTAAATTCAAACCGAATCCAACTAAACCCAAACCGAATCTGACCCATATTTTTTTTATAATATCCGAATGTGGTTGAAATTCATGAACCCGAATGAACTCGAACAAAAACCCGATTGGAACCCTAACTTTCCCAGACCTAGTGAGATGTGAGACTGGTGCATCAACTCAAAAAGTCTATTTGATGTAAGTTGCTGAGGAATAAATCAATATATTCTCATTTCTTAGCTACTCTTAAGATATTTCCTCTTTTATCCACATTCATCTCTAATCTGATCTCACAATATCATATGGCTTATTCGAGAATTGACCACATTCAGACATTCATATGAAACATTTGTTAGGAACTAGTAGCAGCTTTAAACATATTTTTTCACCATGTTGAGAGCATTGACAGCCTGATGGGCTAATAATAGACTTGATATGAATGAGATATGTGGTCTTGATTTTTGAAATTTATTGAAATAGATAAGTTATAGAACTGATTGTGAAAATTATAAAAACAAAACATGTATTTAAAATAACAATTTATTGCATTTTGGAGATCATGTTTCTGGTTATTTCATCCCTCATCATACAACAAAACAAACTCAAAAGAGAAAATATGTTCACCAAAACGTTGAGATTTTGTGTGGATGAGATTGTTGGGTTTGTATTATACTACATCTTAAAGATATTGGCTTTACTGCTTTTTAGTTTTGTTTTGTTCATATTATTTTGCCATAGAGATGTACAAAAGTTGGATTATGGTCTTGTAGTAATGTGTTAGATGAATCACACAAGCTGAGATTTTGTGTGGATGAGATTGTTGGGTTTGTGTTATTACATCTCAAAGACAATGTTTGACTTTGTTGTTTTTTTTTTGTTCATATTATTTACCATAGAGATTTTAAGGTAAAAGAGAAAACAAGTTCACCAAAAATACTACTTAGTAATTTAATACTGATATGCATACTTTTTATTCAAAGCTTGATTCTTATTTTTGGTGAAACAAATTTATTGGATGTTGATAAGACCATAAATCAAGCATGGATTTTTGACTTTCTAAGAATGGTTTTCTTAACGAAATGTTTTTACGCATTAAAAATAATATATATTAACTTTTACAAACAAAAAGGTCATGCTATAAAGGAGAATATTAATTGTATCCTTCATTTGATTATGTCATGAACAATATTTGTACGTGAACATTGATACTAATGACAATTTCCTTCCTACCAGAGGTGGAGGCTTGTTTATTTATTTATAGTGTATAAGATCATACATTTATGGTTGACCAAAAGACCATATATTGTGATTTTTGAAGTTATATTGATTTAACAACAATATTTAACAACAATACATGAATTTTAACTCATCCATGGAGGGATTTAAAATTAATTTCCCAAAAATCCTCCCAACTTGAACAACTTCAATAAATCATTTCCAACGAAGACTTGGTGATATGAGAGCAGTTGATGTTGCATTGATTGCTACCAATTGGGGTGTGTTGATTGGTCCAATAGATCTTTGTATATAACATGTTGAAGTTTGTTAATTTAACCTTACAGTCATTTAATGTCATGTGATTGGTATAAATTAGTTAAAAAAATCATGTAGATCTTTTTGAAATTGGATATTTGGATATGTATATTTTGATAATTATTTGGGTGTGTTGATTGGTCCAATAGATCCTTGTATATAACATGTTGAAGTTTGTTAATTTAACCTTACAGTAATTTTATGTCATGTGATTGATATAAATTATTTAAAAAAATCATGTAGATCTTTTTGAAATTGGATATTTGGATATGTATATTTTGAAAATTATTTGGGTGTGTTGATTGGTCCAATAGATCCTTGTATATAGCATGTTGAAATTTGTTTATAAAACCTTACAGTAATTTAATGTCATGTGGTTGGTATAAATTATTTAAGAAAATCATGTAGATCTTTTTGAAATTGGATATTTGGACAGGTACATTTTAATAGTTATTTAGGTTTAGGGTTTAGGGTTTATGAGATGTTGATGGTGTATAAAATAGACGTACATATGGGTGTATTTATACGCAGAGCATATGCAATTTAATCACGTATAATTCTCTTATTCGTATGTATGGTGAGTTTTGAGTAGTCAAGTCTTAGTGTACCATCTTGGTTGTATACCATTCATCTCCATTATGTGCACCTTCTCGAATGTGAACAATTCTGTACATTTGCTTTTATAAATTTCCTCACCATCACATGTCTCAAGCATATAATCTTAAAGACAATGCGATAACACAAATATTTTGTCCCACACAATTAATCTTGATTCGTAACATAAAAAACAATGTGGAGAAGATAATGAGATGTTGTTGGTTTATATAATAAGAGTGCATATGGGTGTATTTATAGACAGAGCATATGCAATTTAATCACGTATAGTTTTATTATTTTTGTGAATGGTCAATTTGAGTATTCAAGTTCTAGTGTACCATCTAGGTTGTGTACCATTCAGCTTCATTATGTATACCTTCTTGGATGTGCACCATTCTTTACATTTTATTTTATGAATTTCCTCACCATCACATGTCTCAAGCATATAATCTTAAAGACAACGTAGATAACACAAATATTTTATCGCATATAATTAATTTGGATTCATAATATGAAAAAATTGTGGAGAAGATAATGAGATGTTGTTGGTTTATAAAATAAGAGTGCATATAGGTGTATTTATAGGCAGGGCATTTGCAATTTAATCACGTATAATTCTATTATTCTTGTGTAGGGTGAGTTTTGAGTAGTCAAGTCTTAGTGTACCATTTGGGTAGTGTACTATTCAGCTCTATTATGTGTACCTTCTTGGATTTGCACGGGTCTTTACATTTTTTTTTATGAATTTCCTCACCATCACATGTGTCAAGCATATAATCTTAAAGATAACGTAGATAAGATAAATATTTTGTCTCATAGAATTAATCTGGATTCATAATATGAAAAACAATGTGGAGAAGATAATGAGATGTTGGTTTATAAAATAAGAGTGGTTATAGGTGTATTTATAGGCAGAGAATTTTCAATTTAATCACATATAATTCTATTATTCTTGTGTATGGTGAGTTTTGAGTACTCAAGTATTAGTGTATCATATATGTTGTGTACCATTCATATCCATTATGCGTACCGTCTTGGATGCGCATTATTCTTTACATTTGCTTTTATGAATTCTCTCATCATCACATGTCTCAAGCATATAAAATTAAAGACAACGTAGATGACACAAATTTTTTGTCTCATACAATTAATCTGGATTCATATTAGGAAAAACAATATGGAGAAGATAATGAGATGTTTTTGGTTTATAAAATAAGAGTGCATATGGGTGTATTTATAGGCTAGAGCATATGTAATTTAATCACGTATAATTATATTATTCTTGTGTATAGTGAGTTATGAGTAGTGAAGTCTTAGTGTACCTTCTAGGTTGTGCACCATTCATATCCATTATGTGTATCTGCTTGGAAGTGCACTATTCTTTAAATTTGCTTTTAGGAATTTCATCACATGTCTCAAGCATATAATCTTAAAGACATCGTAAA